GGTCATTTATTAAATATTTGGGCAACTTACTAATTGGTGCAAGTCATTCTAGACTACCTCAATATCCTAAATACAGTTAAACATACTCAAGAATTTTATGTCATCTGCAAACGTTATTTATTTTTGTGCCCCTGTTAATATCATCAATGTAAATAAGAAAAGGAAAAGGTACAATAACAGAGTGGTAATAAAATTTTATCGAAACTTTAGACACAGCTAAACAACCGGGAGAGAAATTGAAGAAAAAAAACTTTTAATGGTATGTTCTTTTAAACTGACATCGAAAATTAGAATTAGAATTCCCATGACAAGTTGCAGTGTTGACAGCGCGTTTATCTGTTCACAGAACGTTTTTGATTACATATAATCAAATAGTATGAAGATACAGGAAGCATTATAATAATTGATAATGTGCGTGGTGTAAATATTAAAGTTTTAACTTAATTATCAAGAACATTTCAGTGGCAGCTTGTTAAAGGAGGCCGTGCCCCCCTTAAATATTTTGAATAAATAATATATCTCAATAATTTATTTGTTCTAGCCATAAAATTGTTTTAGAAAACTGCACATTTTTATTAGCAAAACGCTCAAAGACCTCCCCCCCCCCCCCCCACCACACACACTATGCTCTTCATTGAGGTGAAACACAGAGCGGTTGTGCCTTTTGGTTCTTTTTTTTTTTTTACCTGTACAATTTCTCTGTGGTGCAATGGAAACAGCCAAGAGGGGCCGCAAAGTTATAATACAGTAGTAATTTTATTTAAAACATTTGATTTGAAAATTTCAAATCAAATGCAATCGGTAATGTTCAGAAATTTATTTATCTTCACCCCGTACTTGATAAAAGATGGTTTAGCAATAATTTGTCGAAAAACCAAAATGGCTACTTGATATAAGTTTAAATAACTCGTCGCAAACAAAAAGCAAAAGAAACCGAGGACAATTCGCGATTGTGGAGTAACACAAAACGAACATGTGGGGATCTGTTGATCCTATACCCAGAATTTTAATGTGGGAGGAAAACGGGAGTACCCCGAGAAAAACCCACTTTCACTTCTCGGACGACGAATATTCTATCCGGGTAGTGTCTGAGCTGTGTATCTGAAACGAGACGTGTATGGTTAACACATTACATGTTAATTACTGCAAATGTAATAAGGAGTCTGGTGAGCGCGCCATGTTTTGAGTGTTGCTGCTAATGATTGAAGTTGCGTCGTCAAAGTATTTCTTGTACTGGCAATCTGATAGTATTTTTTGGTTAGTTTTTGGATGCGATTTTGGAAACTGGGTAGAATCTTTAGAAAATCAAGACAGATGGATGGGGGTATATTTGGGGAGACTTAAGGCTAATAGGACGCCATTATATTGTAAAGCTTCGAGTTTCCTGATTAGGTTGGTAGACATATTACATGTAACCATACATCCATATTCAATTAATGGTCTAATGAAAGTTTTGTATATAGTAATAATAAAGGAGCCGAGCCTTCTTACCGCGTGTATTAAGAATGTCGAGGCTGGCGAAACAGCAAATAGGCTAATTGAAAACTAGGTTTTAATTAAAAACAACCAATGGAAATAATTTTAAGAAAAGTTTGCAACCACGAGGAACACGTAAGATCGCGGTGATCAAGGACTGGTACAAATTTAATGATTATGTGATTTTTCACTGTTTTAAGGACATAAACAATTACAAGTGAGTTTCATTATATGAACTGAAGTGACTTGGTTAAAAAGTGCGATGATTTAGCTTGGTTTGGAGATTATTTCGGAGTTTTATATTTCACAAAAATAGTCTTACTGACGTGTCTGCAGCTATGAAAGACTGACGACTCAAATACATATATTAATGAATTGAGTTTGTTTGTTTGTAATTAAGCACAAAGCTACACAATGAACTTTCTTTGCTCTGCCCACCACTGGTATTGAAACCCAAATTCTAGCGTTGTAAGTCCGCAGACATAGCACCGTGTCACTGGGTGGCAATGAAGTGAGACACCTAAAGTAAATACATGTTTTGCTGTTCTCTGCGAGCCGCCACTGTATGAAATTATTTCACACTTAGGCTTACTCTTGCTAAACCCAGTGTTAATATCCAGTTATCTATCGTTCAAATAGCTTGGAGCCACGTTTACAAACAGTTTTTATTCTCTCTGCACTACAGAAACCATGATTGTATTTTAGCCCTATAGTTTTTTAATGTAGATTTTACTATAACAATATAATTTTTTATGTAGATCGTACTATAGCAATATAGTTTTTTATGTAAATTGTACTATAGAATATAGTTTTTTAAATGTAGATTGTACTGTAACAATATAGTTTTTTAATGTAGATTGTACTGTAACAATATAGTTTTTTAAATGTAGATTGTACTGTAACAATATAGTTTTTTAAATGTAGATTGTACTGTAACAATATAGTTTTTTTAATGTAGATTGTACTGTAACAATATAGTTTTTTAAATGTAGATTGTACTGTAACAATATAGTTTTTTTAATGTAGATTGTACTATAACAATATAGTTTTTTAATGTAGATCGTACTATAGCACTATAGTTTTGGCGAATGTCAATGCTATTCTATCACTGTAGTTTTTTTCTAAAAGTTTGATTGTATTCTAGCCTATAATTTTCTGAATAGTCATTTTTAGTTGCTGTTTTCTATTAGTATTTGTTCTTGCATGAAAAATTACGTCAATTTTGAAATATGGTTTCGTTTTATCAGTGATGTAAAAAAAGCAGTTAACAGCTATTAGATAAAGTTAGATCAAATGTTTAAACATGATATTCAGTATGACTTGCTTCATAGGGTGAACTGTGCCTAAGAAGTTGTATGTGTCTTCACAAAATGCATACAATGTTGGTCTTAAGCACAAGCAATTGGTTGAGGACTGGCGCTACTCGAAACATATATAATATTGTTATCACAATGATTTAATCCCTTAAAATCACATAAAGATACCTAATTTCATGCTTTCACCTTAAGAATTGATTGGGGAGGTGGGGTGGGCAACAACATATCTTCTCCCCACCAATGTACAACCTGTTAGTGGACAATAACTGGGAGTTTCTTTTCGGGTTATTTTAGACAGGTGAATATTTCGCGTTCAGCGAGACTTTTCAAACGTTGCCACACATTTATACACGTGTTTGTAGTATATATAGTTTAGGCAATAGAAGTTCGTTCTGCAAACTGGCTAAACTGTATTTGCTCTAGTTATGGGTCATTCGCCTTTCGGTGTCACGTACGCTTTCTCCAGGAGAGACTGCTAGAGAAATTCATAATTGAATATGATATGTACATTTTGACAGCGATCTTGACAATTGGCGAGTCATCTGATGTCTCGAAGACATATAGTATCTACTTTGTTTGTGAAATGACCAACAGTGACTTGGATAATGCACGTGCTTTGATAGAAATACTGTATTAGTTTCCAATTAGTTCGCTCGGCCTTGACAGAGATTTTATTTAGATATCATCCAAATATTTCTCCAGCAAATAGTAAATAACTGTTGGATAAATTATTAAAATTACGAGCGTGGATTAGCTCTATGGTAGAGCTCCGGATTTTAGAGAGATCCGAGTGCATTATAAGAGTGGAGTCAAGCCCTTAGCATGGATGGTGGGTAGGGTGCTGTTGACTGGCTGTCTTCCATCTGTTCAATAATTCATAACTAGAGATGGTTGGCAGATAGCCTTAGTAGCTTTGCCATTAAATACAAAATACAAATATAGAACCACGATATTCTAATTTAGTCCTAGCGTACTAGATATTCGTGCTTGTTCCCCGCAAAATCAGATACAAGAGATGCGCTGTCTTTCAGATCGTGAACACAACTCAGCTGATTTGAACTTATTTGTCTTATGTTAAAGAAGCGATCATTTGTTTTCACGACTAAATTGTGTCCAGTCTTTCTGTTCAGTCAGGAAGGGAACTCAGTTTTAACTGTGCATAAAATTTTCTGCTGAACCTATTGCTCTTGCGGTTACTACTCTTTTATCTGAGAATATTACTATTTGATTAATCCGCTTGAGGTCTCCACTAGTTAGGTGGATGGTTTGTTGGTTTGTTTTGAATTTACACGAAGGCTATCTGCACTAGTCGTCCCTAATTTAGCAGTGTAAGACTAGAGGGAAGGCAGCTAGTTATCACCACCCACCGCCAACTCTTGGGCTACTCTTTTACCAACGAATAGTGGGATTGATCGTCACATGTAACGTCTCCACGGCTGAACGGGCGAGCATGCTTGGTGTGACAAGGATTCGAATCCGCGACCCTCAGATTGAGAGTCGAGCACCCTAACCACTTGGCTATGCCAGGCCGGTTTGGTTGTAGTTAAGCGCAAAGCTACACAAGGGACTATTTGAGCTCTGTCCACAAGTTTATCGAAACCTGATTTCTAGCGTTGTATGTCCACAGGCATATCGCTGTGCCAATGGAGGACCTGGTTAAATGTACTTAAATGGGCACACAAAACCATGACAAAATCTTGAGTCATACATTAGCCGATCTTTTACATCAAAGTAAGTCCACGGTATAAAACTGTACTTGTCCTTAAAAGTGCTATGAACTACACACGTTAACTTAATATTGTTGCACGTCGAGCAGTTTTTCTCGTAGATTTTTTCAAGAGTTTGAATTATATTTTATTTTTTTACTCATAAAAACTCGATTTTTTATGTTTAAAGCATATGGCTTAAGCTCTCTTTTTTTTCATCTAACATAAGCAGCCGTCTTTGAACATAACTAATTATATAGTATCCATTTCGCTTAACTGCGTAATATATATCCAGAAGATATGATATAAACGTATATTTCATGAAGAAAAAAGTTATAGGTATTCAGTAAAATATACGGTTCACAAATATATCTCTTTATTATTAAGTAATATAAATAAATTCACGTTCTAAATTTCAAACGGTGTTTTCTATGTGAAAGTAATAACCAGGGTTACAGAGACACATAAGATTAATTTAATCTTTTTTTTTTATTCTCTTCAGATTAATTTCATGCATACTCTCCCAACAATCGTTGACAATGGATTTACCCTGTGGGAAAGGTGAGTATATATATATGTTTATATCTAAATAAATAAATAGCTTACAAATTATTGATTATATTAATTGTTCATAGACGATTAAATCAACACTATAATACAATAATGAATTAAATATCGCATTAACGTTATCGGTCCAGGTTGTCAATCGTTTCAATCGATAGTCAGTTTTAATAAACATACAATATCTCTTCTCTTTAACTATAACAAATTCACTGAAGAATTTAATCAAATAGAAGTTGACAAATTACTTGGTAACTGTAGTAATAGTGTTTTTAAAGATATATTTCACAATCATCTAGTTACATGAAATTTGGAAGCTGTCAACGATAAGAACTGCAATCAATATTAAAGAAAGGTACTAAATGTAGAATTTTAAAACGCGCAAAAAATGTGAAATCTTAAAAGACTTAGAAAAAAATATTGATCATTATATTCTTAAAATAAGTTTGTTTGTAATTAAGCCCAAAGCTACACAATGGGCTATCTGTGCTCTGCCCACCACGGGTATCGAAACCCGGATTCTAGCGTTGTAAGTCCGGAGATTAACCGCTGTGCTACTGGGGGGTCTTAAAATAAGTAAACAATCTTATTATCCACCATGTTATTTTTAATGGAAACTATATTTTATTAATTCTATAAAGAATCGATTAAGAACCTTAAACTTATCTCGATATAACTTAGATATTTCTTTCGATGTATTTAAAAATAAAATAAATTCAAAAACAATTCGTTATTACTCCGATTGATAAAGCTGGCTGTAACTTTGGTTTTGTGTGTAAAAAAATATATGCACAAATTTTACTTAATGAAATTAATACTACAAGTACTTTTACCGAAAGCGCTTTAAAGAAAAATAATATTATTTCTAATTTAAAGAAGGTTATTAAGAATAGAATATTCATACAGATTATTCTTGTACGAATTTACCATTTTTATATGCAATTCCAAAATTGTATAAAGATCCTATGACGTTCAGATTTATTACTAATTCTTTAAATTCAGTCATTAAATCTGTTTCCATAGTAATTAACAATATTCTAGACGCCTTGTTGGAAAAAATAAAAACGCAGTCTTCAAATAACCAGAATAATTATTTTTGGATTATTAAAAATAACATTCCAGTTTTGGAATGTTTAAATAATTTAAATTCTTCAAAAACTTCAAAAATTTTATTCAATATAACCGGGACGGAAAGTCTAACTTCAAGTAGCTGGGCTTGTCTAGGTGTTCCCGTGTTATATTTGAATAAGTCTTCAGGAGAAAAGGAGAAGGTTGAGAGTAAGAACTATATAAGAACTTTTAAGGTAGGGAGTAAAGTTTTACCTAGTTCTATTCAATATTTTATAGTTCTATTTAATATCTTTTTGTAAGGGTGGAGGTTGGGAGTTTAATTAGTAGACATATTAGGGTGTCTTTATTTCAATTCATTTCTACTTTAAGAAATGTAAGGGTAACTGCCTTCCCACAACTGACTATAGACAGTGAAAGAGACGTTGTGAGTGTAAGCACTCAGCTTCGTACCCTTATTTGATTTTTGATGATTTTCCATGACGGCTGACTAGATTGACATTGGCGTTTGTATTTTGTCCAATAGATGGGATATCCCCAACTCATTTGGATGCTAATACCACATACATTATCCGTTATGACAATAAGTTGACAACCTGGACCGATAACGGTAATGCGATATATTTATATATATATATATATACTATACCGAGGGTTGAGTACGTTATATTAAAACAATTCTGAATGTGCATATCAGCATGTCATGTGACAACCTCAGCTAATATAAAGTTGCGGTGAAACGCAATGTATCAGAACTGTATTTTGACATTGTTTGGAATTCGCAGGTAGTGTGATGTCACCAAACATTGATCACAAAATATTCCCACTGAGATTACCAAGACATGTTTAAAAAGTGGATTTATAATTTTTGAAAATGGGCTACCCCTTGTACTTAGTGGTTTTGGAAAAACAAGAGTGTTTTGGATCAACTTGGAGACCCTTGACCATTCAAAAAAAGACCTGCAACAAGTCGTACCCCAACCGTGGTAAACGATGTGCAGCGTCTTGTAATAGGTGAGATTCCATACACTAATAGGTTAGTGGCTTCTACAACATATTTATTCAACAATTGCATACCTCAATCAGCTGGAGAATGAAATGAGTATTCATGCTATTCAATACGAAGACATATTGGCCAAAATCTATTGATTTATGTATAATCTTACTGTAGAAATGGGCACAAAAAACTTTCGTCCTCGTACACTTTATAGATCATGGAAACTAAGTGTACAGGGAAGGAGGGTGTGTTTTGGACATTACAGCCTTGGAATGGTGCTTTTTGCAATGGAAACTACGTTGAAAAGCGTTTTTCAAGTTATAGCGTTGTCAGATAGAGCATGGGCAGACGTGGTGTCATGAACTGTAATGGCGTTGGGAGGCTCCAAAATCGTTTCAATATAACGTACTAAACTTCTGTTTATATGTGTATATTACTGTGATCTTCCATTAACATACAACATCCAAGAGAACTGGTCAATAAAACTTTATTGAAAACAAATTTTAATGTCGAACAAAACTAAGATATTAATCATAGTTTCTTTTTTATATGAATATTATGAAGTGTTTATTGTGTATATCTGAAGTGTGTATATCGAAGATATTTACCTTTCTCGTTCACAAGGTGGGTTCCCATTTTTGGACGGTGAAAATCTGAATTACACACATATTTTCTTAGAGAGATAGCTGTCCAAGGATACTAAAACACTGTACTAATTTTATATTTTTTTATCTGAGTGATTGGAAGTAATTTGAAGAAAACGTTCATGTTGGAACATTTATTTTTATGAACTTCGAGAAACGTTCATAGTAGGTAGGTGAAAACCATACTTTTGAAACCAAATGGTTTCGAAAAACTCGGGGAAATTTATTGTTTGTAAAAAAAAAATTCAAAAATGTTTAATTAATCACAATGTTTTTTAGTTAAAATCGAGGCTATTTACAGCCAAAAACTGTTTATAAGTATATTTAAGTACAATTTCTGTAAACGTTCTGATTCAATATGTGCCATGATATTTTTGAAGAACATAAAAAAAATCCGTACATGTAATATAACCTTTTTATTTCAAATCTTTAACAGCAGTTTCGAATAAATACTTCATGAAAGTACTTCATATCTAATCTCAAGTACACAGAGCAAGAGTGCTTGATTTAGTTTTCAGGTTTTTGTACATGTGTATTCATCTCCATGGCATTCAAGCAAAAAACTTTTGTGTCAGAGACATATTGCAAAAGTTTAAGAACAAAACTTGTACATTCCCCTCCCTAGATTGTCTTGTTAGGCTTAAGTATTATTATAATTGCACAAAACCATGATTTATATTAAAATATAATTTATATAAATCATAATTTATGTTATAATACAACTAGGATTTAGTGAATTAAATATTATAACACAATAGCATTTATTTTCTTTACAGCCGCTCAATTATGCTTTACCTTTACCAAAAATTCGCAAAAACTGATCGATTGTATCCTTGTGATCCCCAAAGGAGGGCGCTGGTTGACAGAATGTTGTATTTTGACATGGGAACGCTGTACAGTGCTGCCCACGATCTGGTGGTATGCATACATGCTAATACACTTGGTTAACAACATACGTTTTTCATTTGTTTAAAACTTTAGAATATTGAATAAACAATCAATAACTTATGAATAAGAAATATGTATAAATCTGCAATTAACTTTAAAATTACAATTTTTATACAAGCTGATTAGTAAAATAAAAAGCCTTGTATATACCGTTTAGACATGTGTATATATATATATGTTTCAAATTACATTAAAACAAATTCATGAAAGCTACAAACGTCAGTCTTGGTCATTTTGTATATGTTTTACAAGTAAAACTGGTGATACTTGCGATGAAACAATGTACGTTCACATGGCCTAAAGCTTCCTATTTAAAATCAAATTGGAATGTAATAGCTCTACTTTTCTGAATGTTCGTCAACCACTAATTGATGAAACTAAATACAATTTTTGTTATTCTGTTTATGAAGTTTCCGAAGCTGCTAGGTCAACTGACTGAAATTGACACTGATCAAGAGAAGAAGCTTAAAGAAGCACTTGGATATTTCGAACAATTCATTGGAGACAATAACTACGTGGCGGGAAACTCCCTGACGTTGGCGGATCTGTCTGTACTTGGTAGTCTTACTGTCTTGGATGTAGGTTCTTAATGGACGTCATAAGACTCATTAAATGTTTTCTCGATTTAACAGAGAAACATCTAATTGCATGAGTAAAATAAAGATAGCCTGTAGTTGGTATTTACAATATGAACACCAGTTTACGTGTACATCGGTTAAATCACTAAGGTTCTGGTGAAGACTTTCCTAATTTTTGAACTACTAGCCAGAGCCGGTCAGCTGCCACAAAAACTTTTTACTGGCTTTGAGCTGGAAAAAAAACTTACACAGCTTAAAGTGCTGAGTGTATTGAGTGGAATCGCGACCCCAGTGTTGGACCCTTCTGATCGGCATGTCAACTTACTATCTATTAGGCCACATTCGGCCTGACAAGATTTGATTACTTTAACTTCCCGGCTCGGCATGGCCAGGTGGTTAGGGCGCTCAACTCGCAATCTGTGGGTCGTGGGTTCGAATCCCCGTTACACCAAACATGCTCGCCCTTTCAGCCGTAGGGACGTTATAATGTGACGGTCAATCCCATTATTTGTTGGTAAAAGAGTAGCCCAAGAGTTGGCGGTGGGTGATGATGACCAGTTGCCTTCCCTCTAGTCTTACACTGTTAAATTAGGACAAATAGCTCTCGTGTAGCTTCGCGCGAAATCCATAACAAACAAACATAACTTACTGTACTGATAAAAGTATAATATGGATTGGGGAAACTAACTTTTGCCTCAGCCTATATATATATATATTAAATACCTAAAAAACTAGCATTTCTCAAACCATTTTATTTTTTACAACTCATCGTTTCTAGCACATGTTGTTAACACACAACAAAAGAAATATACATATATATATATATATTCAAAAAGGTAACATTTCCATTAATTTTTGAATTTCCCAGTCGACTTATCGATTTTCTCCATAATTCTTAGCGGTTATATTTGTTTCCGATAGCTGCGCAAAGCTACATAAGGATTAATTTCGATTAGTTGTCTGTAATTTTGAACTGACAGACTAAAGAGAAGGCACTCTGCCAACTCACAGACTACTCTAATCGAATAAAAGGATTTGACTGCCACTCTTATAACGCATCCACGGCACTAAATTGCGGAGCGTGATTAATTTTGTATCCCGACACCAACCATAAAACCTTGGATCTACAGTCCAGCGCCTAATATCTAGGCCACGCCTGGCTTCCTTATCTATTAATACGATGAATCCTGATATTTTGATGCTATGAATATATTTTTTCATTTCTACTAGATGCTTGAAAATCTAATTTCTTCTCTGGCGGCCATGAAGTAACTAGGAATGTGAAAAATTGTAGGAGAAATTTCATGTCAATCAGTTAACCTAAAGTTTTTACGCTCTTAAAATGTACGTTTTACTTTGTTTCAATCAGATAGCCACACATAAAACACTACAAACGTAGAGTGTGTTTGTATCGTAAATTAAAGCTTTGCTTTTTACATTTTGAATACCTCATCTCTTTCTACCCGAGAAAACTTGTCTTCTCCGAAAGAACTCGTCAATAAAACCCATGTATTAAAGAATACATGTATTCCCTGGTTCTTATATCATTTTAATTCGAGAATGCTCAGGAGCAAAGGTTCTCTGCTTGATAACTAAAATGTTCTCAGATATTGAATATTCAAAATTAATTTCTTTGAGGAATATTTATATTGAGGAATAGGTTCAGGAGCTCAACCATCTTTTCTTTTGTCATTCCAGAGGGTTCAATGACATAATTTTTGTATGGAAGTGAGAGCTATAACAACTCATATACGTGTTTTCATATTAAATGTTGATTTATTTATACTACAAGTACAAACGTGAATTTCAAGTAAATCAAATGTAAACTTGTTTTTTGTACTTTTATCTACGAGTATTTATTATAAAATTGTATTAAATTAGATATCAAAATTGAAACGCGGATACTACATATTAATATGAAGACAAAACATATGCTTCCCAACTAAATATGTTTAATCTCTTGTTTTAATTTTTCAGCTCATAGACTACAAAATCGAAGGTTTTCCGAAGGTTCAGAGTTGGTTACAGCGCATGGAGACAGAGCTCCCTTATTACAATGAAGTCAACAAAGAGCCTATCGAGGAGTTCAAAGCTTCACGAAAGTAATGATTGCAGTGTCTGATGATATTCACACCTTAAGCCACCTGTTGGAAGTTATATTAAATTCTTAATTATTGTATATGAAATATCATAGAGAAATTCAATACACTCCATTTTATTACTTTATGAATGGAATAATATCATTCCCTGGGATAAGATGTCTAAACTTTTTCTCAAAATCACTGCCAAAATTCATCTGCATAGCTGAAGAAATGCATCCTTAACTTACACTAGAATGCACGCATAATCAGAGTTAGCTGTAATGTTTCATAAATGAATATAGTTTCACATCTATCGTTATAGAAATTACTATCTCAATAACTATCAACAGATGGCGATACTAGCTGCTTATGTAATTTGGTGGTCGTATACTTTATAAGTGCCTGTTTTTTGTTTTGTTTTTTGTAATGTAATGTGGTGTGATAAACATTTCTCTCCTATTTTATATCTATTATCAATTTAAAACTTTTTTTTAATATTTAAGGATCTCAAATATAAAAATGAAAGATGTATTCTCAGGACCGAAAAGACGAAAGTTCAAACAAAAGATTATTAATCATTTGTCACAGCTGGAACAATATTGCATATGTCAAAAAATTAAGGAATCTGGTGAATATGTTATTTGTTTCTTTGTAATTTTCAAAGTATATTTTGAGTAGACATTAAATTGAAAGAAAAAGGTAGAAATACTTTAACTGACGAATAAATTGTCTTAAATATTGAATACAAAGAGCCTAGTATGGCCTGGTGGTTAAGGGCGCTCGACTTGCAAGCAACGTGTCGAGGGATTGAAACCTGTAGCCGAAAATATTCGCTCTTTCTCCCACGCAAACGGTTTAATAAAACGGTCAATCCAACATTATTGATTTAAAAAATCAAAATATATGATTTATTGGCTTAAAAATAAATTAGGCAACTTCTTAGACAATAATTTTATACCTTTTTAATTTTATCACATACTCATACATAATTAGCTTAAAAAGCTATAACAAAATATTTGGTGTCTGTTCATTAGCTTGTGATTTTTCTAAAGACCACAATAAGGACTTATTACTTCAAAACTTTGTTAATTATTAATGTAATTATAGTGTGTATCACATTATCTACATACCTTGTTTAATTTCATATAATATTTCGACTTTACTTATTATTACGTGCCATTACAGTGTCATTCGTAAAAGTTACGTTTATGATTTTTTGTCAGAGAACTAACTCATCCCTATTAATTGTTTGGAAACATTAGACACTTTTCCAATTAGTAAAAAACATATATGTATAAATCATAGATATTACTAAATTATTAAAAATAAAGAAACTTGTGAGGTATTTTGTGATAACATAAGATTCTCAATTTCGAATTTCATTACTTTAATAATATTATATCGAGCGAAGTCAAGATTGATGACGTTCTTTGAGCGAGTGATAACTATCTTTTGAATTTAATTTTTATACATAACTGAAAAGCAAGTGTATTTATTTATGCCTACTTAACAATAACTTAACAAATACCACCAAAATAATCATCAGTGCGGGGTTTGAATTTAATGAATTGCGAAACTTTTATTCAACGAGACCAATACTTCAAGCATTAAGACTTTTAACTGATTATTTATAATTTATGAAAACACTTTATACGTTCCCTTCAGTAAATATTAAACTGGACAACAAAATATTTGCTACTGGAGAAAACTCAAATTATTCGGAGTAACTTGATAGTACTGATTTCAGAAATGTAGTCAGACATGTACATCACCTCTAGATTTTGAGTTATTGTAATATCTCAATATTTTATCGGCAGTATGTGAAATACCATGCAGTCCACTCAGTACAACAGATTTATGCTGTGAAATTAAAAGTAAAAAGACATACATTTTACTGTGGGTAAAAAGACATACATTTTTGATAACTTCAAACTTTGAGTATGTTATATTGGTGTATAATTCCAAATATATTGTTCATATGTTCTATTTGTTCTTGATATAATTTTAGCCAATTGCACCACTTTTGCTTCAATCCCAAGTTCACCTGTTCCGACTGGGAATCACGAAACCCTCACGTGTCCAATTAGCTAGAACATTCGAAAAGTTCCTCGACTGAGCACAAAAGGGGCGGAGTTAGACGCTCTCTCTCTCTATAGATCCTTGCCCGGTCATGTCAAGGCCCGTTTGTTGGAATATTATGTCGACGACATTCTTCTCCTCTGATATTCTCGTCGTTGGACCCGCCTGGCCTTGGCTTCTCCTTTCTTCTTCCGGACATGATCTCAGTACCACTTTCAATCTCTCACTTATTAAGTAAAACCCGTAACATAAACACCACCACCCCCCGCCCTCTCCCCTAAAAAGATTTAATATTCTTCGAACACCTCAGATGTCAAATGGTTTGTATCACAAAATTGTGATCTAAACAATTTTTATTTAAATATTTGCCAAGTTTCTTCGGTTATCTCTCTCTCAGTTGCCACTCAGTCGGTCACTTCCCCTCACTCCGGGCACAGTCGAAACAAAATCGAATCTTCATCCTCGCATTATGCATACAATATAATTTCTGCAAACTTTGTTTAAACATTTTCTTTGAAACACTAGTTCTGTAAACATAAATTCTTTTATATTTTTAGAAAATCATTTGAAATGCTGGCTGCCTCAAGTTCAAGTAAAGTTAAAAAGTGCAAAAATCACCCAAATAGTTTCTGCTACATTTGTGGGAAATATATTACAGTTCCATGAGAGAAAAACATCACATACAAGGTAAAGGTAGCTTACTAACACTGTTTTCGGTGTAAGATTGGTGACCAAGAAAAACATTGGGCTCCACATGTGTGTTGTACAATCTGTACATCTGGCTTGACACAGCGGCTGAATAAGAAGAGAGCAAGTATGCCATTTTCAGTTCCCATGATATGACTTGGGCCCACAGATCATCTAACTGACTGTTATTTTTGCATGACTAATGTTTCTGGATATTCAGCCAAAACTAAACAATACATTAATCATCCAGATATTATATCTGCAATGAAACCGGTTCCTCATGAGGATGGTCTTTCAGTGCCACATCCACCAGCGAATTGGGAAACAGAAGAGCTATCCTGCAAAGAAGTCAATGAATCATCTTCATCCTCTTCATCTAGTAATTCTATTCCTGTGACACTTCAATATAAACTACTTCATCTGATCACACAAGAAGAGTTAAATGATTTGATTCCTGACTTGTCTCTATCTAAGCAGCATGGGGAACTTCCTGGCTCTCGTTTACAGTAATGGAATTTTATCAGCTCCAGGAACAAGAGTTTCAGTTTACCGAAGTCGCCATCAAAGTCTTGTTTCTCACTACAGCATGCAAGATACTTTGTGTTTCTGTACAAATGTTGATGCATTAATGGAAGAATTAGGTACTGAACATCATCCTCAAGAATGGAGACTTTTTATTAACTCATCTAACGTTAGTATCAAAGCTGTACTTTTGTACAATGAGAACACTAAGTCATCGATTCCTGTTGCTCTTGCTGTGAACATGAAAGAAACTTATCAAAGTGTGCAGATTATATTTGAGGCAATCAAATGTGATCACCATAGGTGGAACATATGTGGTGATCTAAAAGTTATTGCACTACTGCTAGGCCTGCATTGCTGCTTTTTGTGTCTCTGGAACAGCCGAGATGATAAAAATCATCTCAAAAAGAAAGAATGGCCAGCAAGAGAGAATTACATACCAGGGAAACGGAATATCGAGTATCAACCTTTAGTGAATCCTCAAAATGTGTTTCTGCTCTTACTTCATATTAAACTGGGACTCATGATGAAGTCTGTAAAATGAATGAACAAAGATGGTAATGGTTTCAGATATATGTCTGATAAATTTCCAAAAATCAGTTAAGCAAAAAAGAAAAGAGGTATCTGTTGGGTCACAGATTTGGGAAGTACTGATGGATGATGATTTTGAAACAGTACTCAATCAGAAAGAATTGCTGCCTGGAAATCGTTCAAACTGGTTGTCAGAAATTTGTTAGGAAATGAGATGAAAACTATGCTGTGATGAATTATGATATGCTTGAGAACTACAGGAAAATGGAGTCTAGGATGTCACTAAAGATGCATTTCTTACACTCCCATTTAGACTTCTTTCTAAATGATCAAGATGCAGTGAGTGTTGAGCATGGTGAGTACTTCAACCAAGATACTTCTACAATTAAACAACAATATCAAGGATGGTGGAATCTTGTGATGATGGGAGATTACTGTTGATTCTTACAGCGTGAAACTGGGAACATACACAAAAGGAACAACAAGCCAAGCAGATATTTTGTAACAAAATATTACCATGATGAAAGTTTTGAACGTAGCCTGAATGTATGGTAAGTATGAAATCGTATTACACTCGTTGCTTTTTTAAACTGGTTTTGCTATTATGTATTGTTTTGGAACATTATTAAATGCAATTTTCAATGAATAAATAAAGTTATTAAAGAAAAAAGTTGTTTTCACGATATATAAGAATATTTCAATAAATCTATCATAACAAATAAAACTAGAGGTGATCAGAAATTGCAACATGATTTTTAAAATAAACATCGTCAAATTACTCAGAAACAATTGCATCTTTTTCTAGTAGCAGAAAATATTTTTGTTGTCCAGTTAACAATGTTTTTCGTGAAAATCCTCTCACAAATTAAACTCACATAATGGAATAAAAATGAATTGCCCTTTCTATATGCATAAGTTGCGATTACAATAATGGAAACTTTTTAAACTATCAACTTCATTTTTTTTAATAATAAGATGAAATACCATTTAAGCATCTGCACATATATACAAATGTGCAAAATATAATTGGGGATTTAGAATTTCCAAGACCGGAATATCAACTTTTACTTTGCCCTCCAGTGGCTCAACGGTATGTATGCAGAGTTATAACGCTAAAAAGAGGGGTTTCGATACTCGTGATGGGCACAGCACAGCACAGATAGCTCATTATGTAGCTTTGTACTTAACTACAAACAAACCAACAAACCCGTTTACTTAATAGCATTAAAAATGAATGTGGATAACTTAGAGCACAGGAATATCTAGAAAGAGACCTGTAAAACGTTGTACCCCAGCCGTGGTAAGGAAAGTGTGGCGTCTTGTAACAAGTGAAAATATACGGACAGAAAGATCAGTGACAAAATCGACCACGTGCTCTAGATAACAGTACGCAACATAACTGAAGAGAATCCCTGTTTGAAAAAACGACACAAATTGCTTTCCGAGACATATTCATCCAACCATCGTATATCTCAAACAGTTAGAGAATTAAAGGGTATTAATGTTATTTCATATAAAAACATACCATCAAAATGCCAGAGCCTAAGTGTCTATGGATTTCTATGAAATTGTACTATTGAAAAGGGCTCCGGGAAACTGTTGTTCTCCAACACTAGGTAGTTTATGGAAAGCAACAGGAACGAGGGGTGTGGTTTGGACATAAAAACCTTATCGGCGGAAACTTTTGCAATGGAAACTGTGCTGTTAGGCTATTGTCAAGATGCAGTGTTATCAGAAAAAGTAGGACTGGACGAGGTGACATGGACTGTAACGACATGTTGAGACTATTTTTTTTTTTTAAATAATGCACTCAATCTATATAACAAAGTAAGCATGATAGCTTTCCTATAATCAGAATCTGAACAGCTGCACATGACAATCAGCTAATACATTAAGTATTTAAATAACCCTCAGACATAATATACATGAGAAAAGCAAAACTGAAAAATAACCCTTAAAAATCAATAATACTAATACCCTTTCAACAGTGATAAATTACATAAAATGAAAAGAAATTATACACTGTACACATGCACACACGTATATAATAACGTATGTGAAAGTATACTTTCCAAGATAGTAGTGAATCATTGGTTT